AATTGTTCCCATTGATCATTTAATTCTTTCAGTGTTTTTCCTACATCATCTGATCTATAGTTCTCCTCAGATATCAAAGCTTTCCCAGCTTTGTTCACCGCTCTTAATTGTCCCTCATTAGCTCTTAATTCTCTTTCAAACGCTTCGTGCTTTTGAAGCTTTCGTTCAAGATTATTTAAATCTCTATAACTTTCATCAGATGCCGTCTTCATTTTATCACCCAACCAGTCTCGTAGGTCATCTACTTCTGCAGAAAATTGTTGATAGTGCTCTGAGGCTTTTAAGGCTGCATGACGACGCTGAGCAGCATCCTTGACTTGATTTCTTCGAGCTAAGACTTGATTTCTTCTGTCATTAATATAGTCTTTCTCATAATGATTTTGAGCGATCAATTTGTCCGCAGTATCACTAAACGCTTTCAATCTATCATCCTGAGCGTGGAGAGTGTTTTCAAACTTTTCATGCTGCTTCAATAAGGCTTCAACGTCATCGAGGGATTCCCCTAAATCAGTAAATTCTAAGAACGCTTCATGAGAACTAGTAGTAGCTTCGATCTGATCAGCCTCGCGATTAAACTGCTGTAGCTCTAAGCACTGTTGCAACCAGGCTTCTTTTGCCATCCAATCTGATGTTACAGCCTGATATAAGCCATGCAATTTATCTAAGCGTTCGCTGACATCCAACAGGGCTGGATTACGATGTAGTAATTGGTTTCCAAGTTCTTCAACCTCCCGAAATCTGAACAAATAAAAAATTATTTATATCATTGTTTCAATTAATTAAAGAAATACGAAATATTTAAATACTTACTCGTCTTCTCGGGTTCGTATGTCTTCTCCAAGTTCCATGTGATGTTTCCTAAGTTGCTCAGCTGTAGCAACATCCCTAACAGGTTCCTCAACCTTCATTGTCTCTTGCATATCGGCAGCCCAATTAATTAAATTCTTTGAGCTGTTCATGAAAATCTGTTGACCTACTGCATCTTCCAATCTGGATCTGCGTTCCTTAGCCTTTGTTTGAACTTGATTCCAAAGTTCTTTGATTTCATTTTGTCTGGCATTCACATTGTTCAATTCATGTGGATAGGAGCTCTTCACGCTATTTGCTAATAAGTTCACTTTTCGTACTTTTTCCTCGACTGGTGCCAACTCCCTCTCCAATTGTTGATGTCTTCTTTGCAGAGCCTGTACTGTCTTTAAGTCTGGTCCAAGTTCTGCAGTGTCCAACTGAGTAATTTTTTCTAACATCCAATCATGAGCTTCGTCACAAGTTCTGTTAAATAATTCCACACTGGAAGCCCCTTCTAGGCTCTTTTCTTTCTGTGCCTTTAACCTGTTCAAATGGTCCCAAAGTTGATGGATATGCCTCTGCCTAGCCTTGACCTTATCCAACTGACTATGTCCTTGTCTAACGAACTCATCGACTGCAGCATCTATAGCTTCTACTCGTTTGCCTGATGCTGAAAGATCTGTTAAGAACTTTTCGTACTTTCTTCTGGCAGTTTCAACATTATCTCGCGTGTCATCAGCTCTCAACATCTTTTCTTTATCCTTGATCCATTTCTCAAAGTCATCACATTCGCGATAGAAACCATAAAGCCTTATAGCATCCTCTAACAAAGCATGTCGTTTCAATGCCAATTCTTGAAGTTCGCTATAGGTATCATTGATCTTCTTCAGTCGTTTCTCCACGCTATCTCCATCAGATGCCGTCTTCCTTTTAATTGGTTTCACCGTTGACTTTATGGACTTCACTCTTCTGACTGGAACTAACTGCTTAACCATTTTCGTTTTTTTCACTCTCTGTGTAACTCTAACCTTCTCTGGTCTTCTAACCTGAACTTGTATCACTTTAGGTTCCAGTTCACGAACATAATTCGCTGGTACGAATCCATCGGTGCCATCTGCTTTTCGTACGCTCCACCAGTCAGGATTTGTTTTATTTAATAAAAACATTACTTCACCCTTTATCATTTGCATACCTTGGCCACTGAATGGATACAAACTCTTTACTTGGGGTACCAATCTATCTTCAAAAACAGTTCTAGGTTCTAGTCTTTCTACAACTTCATCCACCCATTCATCTTGAGGAACTAGTCTAATTTCTTTACCTAAAAAAAGAAAGAAACATTTTTGAAATCTATTTCATAGAAGAAGTATTAAAGGAATTTTTACTAAAAACCAAAACTTACTCCATTCTTCTTGTTCCAGTTCTGCAACGGGTTCTGGGTCAGCGGATAATTCAAGAGTAGAAATTCCAGACTTGACAAGCTTCTCAGCCTGCATGTTTAGTGATTGTACATCACCTTTGTATGCATTCAGTTCTCCTTCCAAGTCCTTGTGTCTTTGTAGAAGCGCTTGAGCGCTAGGTTCGTCAACGCCATAGTCTTCGGAGGCCACAAGGGCCATCTTCTCATTCATCCAGGAATCCGCCTCATTTGCATCCGCGTAAAATTGAAAAGCTTCCGCTGCATCATCTAACTGTTTCTTCCTCAGAGCAGCTAACTCTTCTAAGACCTTCCAATGCTCTTGCAACGAATCAATGCGATTTTGAATTTCCAAAGCTGAAGGATGACTGTCAGCTATCAGTTTTCTACCAGCATCGCATAATTGTTCAGATTTAGGTCTTCGTACTTTCATTTCATCCTGAAGGGCTTTATGCTTCTGTTGCAACGAAATTACAGCACGCAAATCCTTGGCTGATATTCCAGCTTTGCAAATACGTTGCTTTTCAATCAACCAGGATTCCTCATCCTCATGATCTTGGAGGAAGTGGAAGAAATTCCTGGCGTCTTCCAAACGAGCCTTGCGTTCCTTACTGTATTCTACTAGATCATCATAAGCTCGGTTCAACATTTCTAACTTTTGTTGTAACAAAGGCACCTCTTTGCTCTGAGGTTGTGCCAAATGCTGAGCTGCTTGCCTACCAAGTCTTCTCTGAGTCTCTCCAAGAGCAGTTACTTGCAACTCTTGCAAGCTATGCTTCTGTAACAAATTTTCGACTCCTAAAAGATGTGGACCAACATCTGTACTTTGGAAGTTCAATTGCAGTTCTTGTATGGAGGCCAAAGTTGTATCAATCTCTCGCATGAGACTCATGAGAGAACTCAGGGCAACTAGATTAGATTTGTGATGATCTAGGAGTGCTAGAAGCTCCTTCCATCTCTGGAGGACTTCCTGTTCCCTGACTTGCACTCTTTCTAACCCATGGTAATTTTCTCTCACTAGTTCCTCTGACATATTAGTCAAATCATGAAAGCGTTCTTCGCGAGCTAAAATATCTGCACTAATAGCTTCGTGTTTCTTCACTGTGGCGTCTACTTGAGCCAAATTGCTACCATATCGTGGATCGGTCAAAACTTGAATCATTTCTTTCAAGTAACCTTCTCTTAGAACGCTTTTCCTTTCAAATTTGTAATTTAATTGCTCTAGTCTTTCTTGTCTAAGGAGTTCAGTCCTGAGGGCAACTTCTCGGCGATGCTCAGCTCGCTCTAGTTCCACCCAATTTCTTTCAATATCGTGTATTAACTGACCTTCTTGGGGCGTAAAAGCAGGCTGGTTCAAGGATTTCAATTGGGTATTAATGTGAAAATACAGAACTTCTATTTCAGATCGTTCCTTGTACTTTGGTGGTTTCTCTACTGTTCTGTATTGCTTGAAAGCTAACAATTCTTTCTGAATGCCTTCCAAGGAATTAGGGAAGTTTCTGTTTTCTAATACTTCTATCTTCATCTTGATCCATTCCAACAAGTCTGTTGTAAGCTTTTCATAGTGAATCTTCATTTTGTCAGCGTCCATCATTTGTCCCACAATCTAAGGAGAATAATATTGATTTTTAAGATTATTTAATAATTAAATCAATGAACTTTAAAAAGCAGATGTATAATATAAAAATTCACTTACATTCGCAATTCTTTTGCCGCTCTTGATCTCGTTTTTCATCCTGGCGAAGGTGTGATAGTAAGAAGCAACGTACGTGATGATGGATTTTTCATCAGGCCGAGCAGTGTCAACATCCTCCGCGTCCAACAATCGCGGAATTCCAAGTTCCGAGTTGGCCACATCGAAAGCATAATTAAGATTGTCGATATTTTTATTTTGCTGTAATTCTGACCAATTAACTAGGTCTGGTCTGTGAGCATGGATAAGCGCATTGAAACCAAGACCGCTTCTCCATGAACCTATAATCAACCATACATTTATGTATACATATGTACAAATTGTAAGTTAATTTCGTAATTAATACAAAATGCAAAATAATTGAAGCTGCTGCATTTACCAGTGAAATCTTGAATATTAACACCAGGATATCCATTAGTCTTCCTCTGACACCAGAGTAGTAGAGCATCTTTGGCCGATTTCTTTTCACTACTGTCATTTTCTTCGTCTACGTCAATCTCAATTTCTTGAATTTGGAATCTCAAGATAATAGTCCAGATTAAACCCAGTATCAACCTTGGATTTCCATCCACTATATCTTCTGCTCCTATACTCTCCAGACGAACCTATAAACCACAAGAAGTTAAGGTAGACTATGGGTTTTATGATAAATTTAAAGACACAAGAACATACAGAATATATAATATGTAAAAATATCTAAAATATCCAAAGCATAATCGCGTTACAATATTTACTAAATGAGACAAATCTTCATTTTGATTTCATTCCTTCATTTGACAAAAAAGCTCATACAATAAAAAAAATCCCAGCTATTTTGTATTAAAATCTCCAAAGATTAGGAGATTAAAGTGCCCAGAGGCTTTTCCAGAAATTACTTCATCTGCTTCCATTAAGTAGTCCATCAAAATTAAATCTAATACAAGAGTTAAATATGCATAATCTAATGATCATTCCCACAATCCTTTCTATAATTTTATTTAGGCTTCCCCTTTTCTAAACTTTATTAAAGCTTCCAATTCTCTGTTCAGGTGAATGCAAACGTATAATATACTCATAGAGAATTTATGAGGAGGGATCGGTAGACTGCTAGCACAATGATAATTCGCATTCCAATGTGCACGTGTGCATAAACTATGTGTACTCTTGCGCGCGCGTACACGAGTAAGTAAAAGAGCGGAATGCACGCTGGCTATTGGCATCGTGCGTATTGCGTAAACAGTGGGTCTTAATAGACGCCTGTGCACGAGCATCTTGCTATGATAAAACGGGCATGCATTCGCATTGCGTCATGTGAAAAGTAACAACTGCTGGACGGCCTTGGGTACAGCACATTGTGATAATGCACTTATTGAAAATAAAGGAGCTAGATATACAAGGTACTGGGTCATCCACTTCTGGTTGTCATAAACGTTCGAAAGTAGACATGAATAGACGTTAGATTGAATAATCACTGTCACTTTTAGCTTTGACAGTTGAGGAATATTTCTCCTGAAAGCTAACGAGGAAATCGAGTGACATATGCGTCACTTTCCTGGTAAGATAAATATGGAAGAATGTTTAATCTACGTGGCGTTATTTTTACAGATTGAAGTATCCGCAGGCTTATTGAAGTGCAGAGCGCAACGATAATATCGACAAAAGTGTCATGGATACTAATAACCTAACCTAGACAAACTTGTCTAGCTATCTAACATCGAAAATCGATCTCGTTGTATCAGGTTATAGATACAATTATATTTGACACCTATTATTTACTTAAAGGAGACTATAGATTTGTAGGAAAGTACAAAGATCTATAGAATGCGCCTAATAAGCAACAGTATATGGAATATCCAAAGAATTGTACTCGTTATAATTAGACTCTGGATGTTTATGCAAAGAATGCATATAATATAAAGAAATATATGAAATATTAAAAACATAGCACTTGTGAAACGAATTTCTACATAGGTTCCATTTTCCTACTTGTGCTGATAAAAATATAAATTTGCACAAGCATTCGCAGTCCAATTATAAACATATATAGGATCTTAGTCGCATTCATAACAATATGGGTTTGCGCAAACATCCGCGGTTTACTAATCGTCATTATAAAATAGGTAGGTAGCCATTATAAAATGGTATAATTTATTTTATAGTATAATTTCTAATTTATTTTATAGGTTTAATAATCACGTAGATAGTGCACCGTATACAACGTTCGTTTATTTGAATTGTAATCATACAAGTGCATAACAAATATATTGTGCTACCAGGTTGATCTTGTAGAATGAAGTTGTATCGGTGTTTCAACATCGACTTATGACTTCATTGATTCCTCCGATACGTTCGACGGAACGTTATGAACGACGATCCCGAAGAAACGCTCGTGGGCCAACAAACAGCTCGACTACGTTATTATACTTAATCGCGGTGTGCGCCCGAAGCGCGACGTTCTCGCGATTGCTGGAATGCCGTCCGATCACTTGTACCGGGTCTATCAAGGCCGTTGGGAAATGAAAATCGTTTCTTTCTGGTCGACTTATGGAATCCAAAACATGTGGGACATTAAGAATTTACGTGGACAGGAGAAAAGGCATCGATGGTAGGTAAAGACGGGTCGGTATAAAAATAGAGTGCATCCTGAAGATGCAACCTGGTTCCACTACGATATAACAGTTAACGATAAAATCAAATTGTACAAACGTGCACTAAATCGTACTTGTCGGTGAATTGGGTCGTTCACTTATAGATCGGTCGGTAATTTACCTACGTTCCATAACTGCATAAGCAGTTATTAAATATTTGATTAAATATTGGAAAATTCGCTACTATGCTATTGAATTCCGGATTGTAGAGAACGAGTACAACATGTTATAATCGTTTGAAAACTTTTTTCAATAAAATACGATAAAGTCGCATCTTCGTACCTTGAGAGTTTCGGACAAAAATAATCATATTCTACTGTTTTCGCAGATATATAGAGGGTGATCCGTAATTCATGGACAGAGAGATTCTACGACTTAAAATAAGAGGAAAATCAAGAATAACACAATTACGCTGGTTTTGTTTCTGAGAAAATCGATGACTTCATTTGTACCATGAATACAATACCTGAAGCAGAGTGACTATCCTGTATATGGTTGAAAAATAGTTGGGACAATGGTGTGAAAAATATCGTAAGTGGGAGGAACCAGGACAAAGGTACAGACTTTGAGTGATTAAATTTATGGTTTTGATAATTCGTCGTAGTGAATTACCGTTTATATAAATATAGAAATGAATGTCGCTGTTGATGGCATGCTGATGATATCATTGCAGATTGTCTCAACAAGCTGGCAATACTTTTTAGTACTTATACTTTATACTGTTTACAGCATACTACTCCAACAATACTCTTTGGTATTTTTCTTATTAATACTTACTATAATTATTTCCATATTTCCCATTCCATTTCATTTCAAAGGAAGTTACCAAATGAGAATTTCGATATAAAGGATAAAATATCACGACTGTCTTTGCTAATGCGAAGGTCTTTAAAGGAGGGATTAAGTAAAAGAGCTAAATGGTACCAGAAGACGATTTACCTTCATGACCACTCTCATTTACATACGGAAGTTATCTATTTCTCTAAGCGCGAGCACCGAACCATTACGTTCCATTTAATTAACAATGTGGCAGACAAGCTTCCACCTCGAAGCGCCTCGTAGATCGATGTTAACCACACGTTAGAATCAATCATCGCGCGTTCACCGGTGAAACGATTAGCTTACGATGAGTAAACAAATGTTTGAACGATGCGCATTACACGGCAGAGCAAATACGCTGCTTCCTGTCGCGTAATTTGTAGTCGTGACGCTCGCTTCGTATATGTAACGATCGACGCGATCACTCGATAATAACAGATTCAAGAATATTTGCATAATACCTACCAGTATACACAGTATACGTTAACCACTTCGTTGTACCTTCTATCAATTTTGCCATCTAATATATTATGAGAACGTCGTCGCTGCAAACTGGTGCGAATGTTCTACAGGATAGATCAGTTTGATAGAAGAGTAACTATTGTAGATAATGTACCATTATCAGTCATGGTAACGATCTCGTCACGTGAAGCGCACAACGTAACAACAACACAACAATTTTGTAATCTTGTTTATTTTCTTTTAGATCTACGATCAAAACTTGCATGATACTTATCACAGATTTGTGGTAAGCTGAAGAAGAGGAAGGCTAAATCTAGAGGTTTGAGTTCTCAAGAAATCAAGATAGCTGCGATTCACTCTTTTAAAAGTAACTAACTTAGAAGTTATTAATAATTCATTTTCAAATAACGCTCTGCTTTCAGGCTTTTTACATTTTTCTACGTTAAACATGGCCAACTCCAGCCACCGTTTCACGTCACGACGTTAGGATACAGTTACCCTTGCTCGCGATACAGATCATTTCACTTAACGCATTTCAACCACTCCTCGAGCGTGCCGCGATGGGATCTGAAACACTTCAAATCGTATCGCGTCTGTATATTCAAATCACTTCAAACATGATTCGAGGCTTGAAACTCTTGATCGCGTAGAAGGTCTTTAAAATCTTTAAAATCTTGGCAATCTTAGAAGTCTTGATCATCATGGAAATCTGAATCGTCTAGGAAATGTTGAAAATTGTGATCATTTTAAAAGCCTTGATCATATTAGAAGTCTCGATCATCTTGTGAAATAAATGTATGTATGATAATTTGATCTTTCCAGGCGTTTTATAAACACTTGTTGCCGCCTGCAAAACTGAATCTAACAGTTTCAAAACGATCAAGACTTTCGAGACTTTAAAGACTCAAAGTTATCAAGATTTACAAAAGAACTTTAAACTTCGAATCATGTTCGAAGCGATCCGAATTTGTCGCCTCATACACAATACAAATTCGAAGCGATTCGAAGTGTTTCCAAATCCCATAACTAGCCGCAATTCGTGCCTGATAACTAGGCGAACAGGACAACAAATTGAAGGAGCCAACATCCAAACGCACAGCATGATTTTTCGACGACTATTATCTTCGTGGCTGTATTTCGCTACAATTTCATCGACACGTCCGTTAACCCAGGTACACACATTGACTGTCGAATTTCCAACCAGCCAAATTGCATACGATCACGTTATAAGCGTCCAAAGTATCAGCGTATGGTGTATGAATAATGAATGAGCCTCGGACTGCATAGTAAGACTGAGAATACGGTCTTATACGGTACTGTTACATCCAGCGAAAAGGTGGGGTTGCACAGTTAAAACTCGTGCAACGAGACAGCCGGCCAATAAGCAGGCATAAAGACGACGGCGTTAAATAACCGGTACTCGTCCTATCGGCCGATTGCTTTTTGTTGTACGCCATGGCACGTCAGCTCGAGGCTCGAGCACCACTCTGTCGACCAGTGAAACGGCTAATGTTCTTGTTTTTTTTTTTCTTGCCTTCTTTCTGTTTTCATTCTTCTTCTCCTTCGCGTTCTTCTTCTTCTCCTTGTTCCTTTTTGCCTGATTCTTTTATTCTTTGCCGAGTTCGATCGAATCGAGAAAGATCGAAAGGACGCGTTCGATGAAAACAATTTTTTAACAAAGGACTCGATCGTGTTGCGTTCGTCTTATGCAGCATAAACGTGTAATATATTTAGGGAATCGTAAGAAAAGTATGTTTTGTAATAAGATGAAATTCTGATGTCTAATTTAGACATACTGTATATTGTACAATATCTATGTTTTAGGTCAGCTTTCTGTATAAGAAGAAAATAGAGTTACCAGTCATTAAGGAGAATGTACCACATACCTGCCTCACCAAGTAGCTACATATTCTGAGATAACACAAGCAATTTGTATCACACTGAAGCTAAGAATTTTTAATGCCATCTTGTAACCAAATGACGAAGAACATACACATTACCTACTTCGATAGTCTATAGAATTATTTAATTTAATCCGAACAGATGCATTTATTAATCTATACACAGCATAAAATAGAGTTCCCGGTAAGTGCCTGTATGTTCAGGGCTAATTTCGAGGACGATTTGAAAAATTTCGATGCGGTGTTCTCGAGGAAGATTTAGATGTATGAAACGTTAACCTACGACAAAAGGGAGCACGCATAGAACATTAAGAATATGAACCAGAGACAGTACACGAATATTCGCAACAAAACAGCGATCTTCTTCAATGCGAGCATGTTTAGAATCATGTTTAGAATCGCTGCCACAATATAGCGAGACGATATGATCCCCCCTTCGAGCAATGTCTTTCTCTTCTTAGTGCACGGCATGTCAGAAGCTTCACGACTTCGTTGTGTGACAACGGGTGTTGTTTCACGGACTGCGGAACACTTACCGAGCCAATAAAGACTCACGAGATTGTCAGCCATATTATTAAAAAAGATTATATACGCATAATACATATTATAGTATATCATAATTAGAAATATTCAACTTGCAAATAGGAGAACATTTATTACAATTCGTATGAAACTCGATTCTATTCGCACTGAAATTTTTTCATCGACGTATACAGCTAACACAACGTCATTTAAAAGGACATAAACGCCTCCACGGAGTGCGTTTAACCCAAGTCAATAAATTCATGCTTAAGATCGATATCGTGTGCATTTAACATCTCCCATAAACTATCTTACACGGTGAACTAGTTCCGTTGGCCAGGTAACGAGCATTGATCGATTAATTTCATCAGCATTGCTTCGCAGCAACTTTACGCATCATTTTCTTGTTAGACAGGTTGCCTCGGATATACGTAAAGTCGACGTCCTTAAATGCATCATGCGTCTCGTAATACTCATCCGATTATCCGTTCATTCATTTCGCTTAATTGCCCACACCGTTATCAGGCGGGCTTTAAGCTGAACGTCTGAGGAACGCTGTATCCTCGGTTGTTTTATAAAAAGACAAGTTTATTCATATACGGATCACGTTATGATAATGTGCGATTAAATTCATATATAGGTAACTATGCTTGCAGAGGCAAGTGAGACTAGTTGTGGAATGTATGAGAGAGGATGTTGAATCACAGGCTGAAGCTATAATTACGTACAAGGATTATGGAGAAAATAGTAAAAAGAATAAATTATAGTAAATACACCATACTAGATCTTTGGAATTAATAAACTGTGTTATCTACACTTCATTTTCCTGAAAACATACAGTGTAATACGCGTATGTATATTCCATTGATCTCATATTTTTTTAATTTCGTTAACCGTAGTACATTAACATCAATTACTAAAAAGAAGTTTCCATGTAGAAATTAATGAACAATGTTATTTTCCTCTAAATTTCCTGAAACGATACAAAGCAAAGAAACGAAATTAATCACACCAGTGTGGTAAACATACTACAGTAAACAACAGGGTTCAGGCAGACTGTGCGAAGCCAATGGAATGGTACTAGGCATTCTTAATGCATTTAACGTGGAATGCAACTCCTACGTTCCCTGCATCGACCGACACCGTGCTACAACCCGCCTGTGAACTCGCTCGTTTCGTCCGACGTTTACTGGCTAAAATGTGACCGCTACAATATAGCGTGCAAAAACATGCACCGTAACCAGCGATACGATCGTTATTCAATAATTTACAGCTGGGTGGTCTACGTATAAGTCGCGCAAGTCAAGATGAAAATCGATTACCGCTTTTGTAAGAAGCTCATGTCCGATGAAAAAGGTAGTAGGTAGATTGGGGCAGCAAGAATCACTGACTGCTTATGAAGAAACAAATTGGAATCTCATTGTGTATGCTTGTTCGCGTGTTGACTTTGACGGAAGTGATCGCAACATGCTTTGAAAGCGTTGCATTATAATCTGACTTTAATCAAGATGATCAGAAATCTATTGTGACTACTAGATCACAATGTAAGATTATGGGCCTGATTACGATGGCTTGCTAATGGCACTCTTCAAAAGCGTGGTTTTGGATAGATTAATCATTCGTGTCACAATAAAATGCAACGAAACCTCGGAGCAACTTGTTATCGAAGATATTGAACAGCGATGATAATTTGAGCAACCTTCTTCTGTTCTCTTCTTTTGTTGCTGCGTATTCCAAAGCATTTCTAACATGCAGCAACTTACAGAAACATTTTGCCCACATCGAAGTAATTGTGACTTTTTCAAGAAACATGGAACAACAACAAAAAGATTCACAATGTTGTTTTAATGAAGACGTGGTTTAACGATATCGATCTATGATTCTAAATCTACAGTATGACAAAAGACGTATGTAAATAATTACATCCATTCTAAAAACACTATAACTAGTTGAATTCCAAATTCTCGTGCGACATTAAAAAGTTGCAGAGAAGATTTAAAGGTGATGTAAAATATTAAAGGAGGATACACGTATCAGGACTTACTATTCTCAAAAGCACTCGAAAGTTACGAAGAAGACCTAAGAAGTATGTAAAATGATGCTAGGATATCTAGAGTACAAGTAGAAAAAGACATAAAGAAGAAGATAGGAAAAATGGTCCAGGAAGCCTAATGGCGACAACCGGAGCTCGAATTACGCGGAACGTCCAGTGGTACAGGTTTAACGGTAAAAGCGGATAAGCGACTCATCCGTGGTGCTTGTACGATTCCTTAAACGATGACGAAACATCGAGAATCATTCGTGTTGCACCGCGTGCGCTGCACGGTCACGATCAGGAATGTCCTTTCGCGAGCTGACGTTCGCGTGCCTTCGATCCACATTCCGCAGCCCTGCCAAGAATGCGCATCGCCAGTTGTAAACGATGCCGTAGAAAAACCGCTACATGGCCCGACTTAAACAAGGGGAGAAAGAGAGAGGATAGGGAAAAGTCTAGTGGATGAAAATTACTAGCGAATTTGAAACATGTTTGCCCCTTTGATCTCTACACTCTCTACACTAGCGTTGCCCGATCATGATTATTTTCACTTGAATGACGCTAATTCAGTAAGTTTATTTGATTTCTCTTGGAATGTGAAGTTAGGATTCATGATTATAGAGAGATAGTAGAGAGAGAGAGAGTTCTTATGCATGTAATTTTGAGAATAATTCATCTATCTCTGTGGGAAAGGATTTCAGACGAAATATTATTTAGTATTTTTATATTTTTTCTACGTAGTAGCAATTACCTCGAAGAAGTTAGAATTATAATTTGGCGAATTGAAGAAGTAAGAAGAGAAGATTGAGGTACTTCGTTAAAAAAGATTTACAGAGATTCACCTAGAAATCGTTGTCGTTCGTACAATCATCGTGAAGATACGAGATCCCGTGTAAATAAAGATATTCGTATTATGCTTGATAAAATACGTTCCAAGAAACGTGCGTTTCTTCCTTATCAATTTTAACGACACATACCGCTATAATACTTGAATATGTAGTAAGACCCATGTCACTTTTATATCACAGCATCGAAGCGTCAGTAAATGGATTTTATTACACGAGGCAGCGCGTGAATACGAAAAATTCGCAATTCCTTCGAGTCGTCAACCCATTAAACGTGAAACTTATCTCCCGAGGAACATAATTAACTCACTTCTTTTCCCCCTTTCTTTGCGGTAAAGATGCAATTTTTGCCATAAAAATATTATATAGATATATATCGTCTGCTTATTTTCATGCAAATGGCTTCATTTTCTAAAGATTTAATTTATCGCTTGATCTTTCTTAAGTAATTGGTATGGCAAATTTAATTATCAATCTTTGGTAACTTAACTGACTGAGTGATAGAGATATGAATTATAAAGTACACAAGTAATTATTGAGTTAATTTCCACAATTTCTTCCTTTTGCGTCGCTTATACAATTAACTCAACAATTATCTACAGTGATCTTTTTGTCCTTCACTTTTTGCACATTCCAATTAACATAAAAAAATAACAAACCACAGGTGCAAACCACGAATGTTATGCGATGTTTTAACCAGAAGTACCTTGTACGGTTATAGAGCACAAGGTTGATCGAGAAGCCTTCAACAATACCCAGAGAATACATCACTACGAAACAAATAAATCAGCTTTCGTAATGATGAACCGACCGAGGAACGCTGTTCCAGTCTCTGACCAGCAATTCCGCAATATTTCGTTCCTGGCCAATGGCAATGCAACCAACTGCAGACGATGCTATCATAGCAAACCTAAGACGATGAAGTTCTTTCTTCCTGAAGAATTCAATACTCTGTTCACGTTAACCACAAGTTTGCAGATTATCATTAAATCACAAACTATACAATATTAAATCTTTTTCTAATCTATGTTCTATTCCTTCAATAAATCTCACGCACATAAAATAAAATTGTAACAAAAAGGAAAGATAGTAACTGAAAAAAAATGTACAACGCTCTTTAGAATAGTTTAAGATCGTTTAGCGTTATGTACCTTGCAATAAGCTGAAATTTATCAAGTTACAGAACAGTTCAAAAAATTCAAATTGCCGGAGTGTTTTAGAGGTTATGTGCAAGAAACGTAATTCCATTTGCAACGGGATATGAAACAGTATCGAACAACGCGTTGAACAGCTGGCCAACGAGAACCAACCGCGAAGATCAGCAAAGAGGTGGATATCTGTTAGAAGGAGGTTGGGGCCGCGTCCTTTCGGTTTTACGACCGTTTCGCGATGTTGATGGCCCACTGGTCGTTTCTACGAGGCAACTATTCCGACAGAATCGTAAATACAGGGAAACTGCCATAGCGAGGGCGAAATGGGAGTGTACAGTTTGTACAGGTCGTTCTAGAACAGTGACAGTTTATATAAATATTTTGTGATCTCATATATTATGTATTATTGGTTCTTTGTATCGTTTAATTGATACAATTGTTGATATAGATACGTACTCTCTAATCAATTTCCAAGATAATCTGTATATCCCGATCATTTATATCAATGTCTCTTTAATTTTGACCATTCCATTTAAATTTATAGTATACTATATGAAGCGCTCTATAGAAATTAAAATTGAATTATCCCCTATATAAACAACCAAAATGCAGAGGTTATCTAACAAGAGTATGAATAACAATCTGTAGTTTTGATATTTAAAATTTTTATATAAATTCAAACGTGAAAGTATCCAAAGAATGAAAAACGGTTATCTAATGTTTGCATTAGAAAATAAAAAATTGAAAACATAGGAATGATTGCCCACACTATGACCACACATTCAGTTTCAGGCTTTTCTATAAATTTCTATAGCTAAATAAGATAATCTGTGAAACACTAAAACAGTTTGTAAATCACTTGACACATGACATTCGAAAGACTGTATAACTCTAACCAAATCTAATCTAAACTTAATTCCAACAGCAGCCAAACCAGTCTAACTATTTACGTGTTATGTATATACATGACATCACGTATGATACTCGGAATGTCCTATATAACTGGAAGCATCTCAAGAAACTATCATTTCAAAGCATTTGTACAAAATCTGAGCACTTCAATTAATTCTATATATCTACATTTCTGTATCACCTTGTATATAAGTTTTCATTCGAACACGCGTGGCCAAAATTATGAAGCGTCCTGTACTGCTTTCTCTGACGGGTGCTAAAAAGAGAAACTTGGGAAATGCATACGAGGTCACCGGCATAAAATCATGGTTAACTTAAAAACCGAATATTTATGAACCTCGTCGGCCATTAATATCGATTGTTTATAGGGCAATACGTACACACGGAAGAACCGTAAGCCATCCACAATTTATCGAACTGTTGATCAACCTAACCTCTATCTTAATTTTTAACGACCACTTAAACACATTTTATTATACATCTTACATTTGCAAGTCAATTTCCATTGTTAAAGGAAATAAATCGTGCAATATTTCAGAAGTGTAGTGTGCACCGGATATAGGACAGAATACCGGAAGAGGACGAGTTCCGATGATAATTGTTCCACCACAAAATCGATCGTGACTCACGACGACATTAAGTCAGGCATCCTACGTAAATCCTGCGTTTCATTATACAATTGTCGGTGACATCACTAATTTATCTTTAAAAAGCACGAATCTTTCTTTCAAGACCATGCTGTAAATCAGCATTTGACGTAATCGTAAATCATCATTATATATAAAAGACAAGATATTCACACTAATAGTATCATGTCATTCCATAAATAATG